TATATATATATATAATTTTCAAGAATATATAATGCATATTATAAAAATACCTTTATTTAAATAATTACTTATATATTACGTGCATGGAATATATATTTTAACAACCTTTATTTTCTTTCATTCGGAATTGTGTAAATAATTTTTTGAATTTTTGTTGTTAATAATAAAATTAGTATTACTAACAAATTATTCTAAATTAATTTTTTTACTACGCTCATTATTTTGTTATTCCAGCAATATATATGCTTAAATACTTTTTATTTTTTTAATTTATAAATAATATATATATTTATTATATAGGTAAGTTGTAAATTTTATTTTGTGTCTCATACAACTTACACTAGTTGTATAAGGCAACTTTTTGTCTCACAGTTTTGTGGATCAAGAATTATATGGACCCAGCAGTGTCAGATTGGGGTCCATAATTTTGTGAGACAAAAAGGAGCCTCATACAACTAGTGTCAGTTGTATGAGACACAAAATAAAACTTCTCCCTGCCAATGTCATGTCATCAGGCACACGTCATTCTAGTTTCACGAGAGAAATGGCGAAAAGTCTGCCTTCTTTCCATATCCATGTAAAGCTAACCATGTATCAACATTCCAAGAAACCAATATATCTCCTCAGACCTAAATCAATCTCCCATGCTTAGCATACTCATCAATGAAGGCAATGCAAACTAGAGTATTAACCTTGTACATACACTCACAATGGGATCATACACTCAGCACTCCTTTTATCAAACTAAGCATACAATATCAGTACAGACAGCTAGAATGCTAATAGAAGCAACAATATCAAGGCTCGAACCATCTTCCTCCATTCAAATGTATTAACTCAGATGCCTCTACAAGCCTTTTTTCAGTATATGCAGATATCATCTTTGTCCACGAGACCAGATTTTCAGAAGGCAACCTATCTAACAACAGCCAAGCCATCTTGCACTGTGAATTTTGATGTTACAGAGTCAGCGTATTGAACATGATAACTTTCTATTCATCTATCAGATAGCAACTTTATTCTCCTCATGTTTTTTCTCATTATAGAAAGTCGGAATGGCTTGAGTGCAGAAGCAAATCAAGGATGTTAAGTCAGTGAGTTCGGAGTGCCACTGCATCCACTATTACTTCATAGCAACGGGAGCGTATTTAATATTGAATGTGTGTATTTTTCAAAACAATTGAGCTATATACATAGAGCTCAAGATACACTAACATCTACTTCCCCATGCAATATGCGGGTAATTAGTTGTATTAATCTGAACACGAATCTTCCTCAACTCTCACAAGCGTGGGTATTTGGCCACGATCAACAAAATCAATTTTGTTCAATCTAACACAACCAAGCACTTTCTCAGGCAACTCCTCTGGCTTCTGTGCCTGTGGAATTTAATGAATAACCAATGAGCATACATACACCATTATAATGCCAAAAGTAAGCCAACCATTCTCAAAACTAATCAGCATCATTTTTTCTTTCTGAAAAATAAGGGGAAAATAAGAAACCTGAATTGTTAAACCAAAATCAACTATTCCATGTTGTAAACGTTCTCTAAAAGCATCAAGCCCCTTTCTAGCTATGTAGCTGAAGCGATGAATATCAAGATCAACTTCAAAGTAATTTGGGCCCTGCAATAAGAAGACACCGTGCTCATTCAGAATACTGTGGCACTCGAAAACAACAAAGATGTTGCTAAACTGACTATAAACTAAAGTCATAGTACTGAAGTAAAAATCATTAGAGTGTCACCTGATAAAAGTTGTGTTGAGGGCGGGAAAGCACAGGCTTTTCATTGTAAGCATTCAAAAGCTTCCTTTCGGTTGCACTTGAAACAAGCTCATCTGGATTCACCAACCCAACCATAATCTTAAATCTCTCTCTGAAAGGAATAATTGATTCTTTCGCAAATCCTTTAACCTTTTCCATGTCATCTTCGACGAATCTCTACAACATAAACCAGTAGCAAATTTAAATGCAAAATAAATTGGGAACCAGGGAATATTGGAAGTTCTCTCATTCCTCTAGTACCATTATCAGGACTAGATCTGTACCAAGCAGGACGAGCAACTGCCGAAATTAGTTAAAACATCAGACAAATTATTTTTATTGATAAGGAAAACATGAGACAAATTATAAAGTTCTTGTTTACTGAATTAGGAAGAATTGCTACATATCAACCAGACATTTCGGCAGTTTCTTCCACACTCATAAACACCTTGCCCAAACTCCGAATAAAATGGAACGGAAGGAAAAACAAAAGGAGAAGAAAAGGTGTTGTTTTTGCTTCAGAAAATATGACATGAAGTACCTTGATGAAGTCCTGAAACTGGGGGGAAATGTCCTCCTCAAAACTTTCAGAAAGTTTGAAATATATTACAAGGCTCAAGCCTTCCCCATCAGCATCACCAAGGAACATTGGAGCCGGATAAGTAGGCAACTGACAAAGAAGAAAAGCTTTATTACTAATTAGAGTAGGATGTTTTATCTAATGAAAACTCCTTTGGTTAGTTGGGAGAGACTGGACTAATACCTGAATGTTAACAATTAGTAACGGAGGTATTCTTCCATCTCCTTTTATAGAAGGAAGCTCAATGTGCTGTGCGATATGATTGATCTTTCTTGGGCAAACAAATAAGTCGACCCCAATTGGAATATAAGGAGACATATTAGGAGCAGGGCTTTTCCTCTTATCTCTGCAGATTAAATGAAAAATGTAAAGAAACATGTGTAAAATCCACTGCAAAAGCTCAACAACAGTAATTAATTGACAAAGAGAGAGGTAAGTTAAGAGCGCACTTGAAATAACTATCACCACGGAGCTTAAAGTTTGAGGGCTCAATCTTTGACCAACTTCCTGCAATGAGCTTTTCTTCTGTGCAACAAGGAATTACGTGCCCAGCCCTGGGGCGGACAAGATACTTTCTTGAAGAACCTACAAGAATATCATTATATTTAATATACTGCTAACTAGCTTTTTTGACTTCTCTTTTTACACACTCCAGAACAAGAAATCTAACATGAAGGTAAATGCATCATGAGGTTTAGCTGGTGATTAGATTTAAAAACAATAAGGGGAATAAAAATGTCATGGAACAAATTCGTATAATGGAATTCTCAAGTTGGAGTCAGTTTATGCTGAAAGAATAATATACACAAACGGAAAGTGGAGGAAGTACTCACAAAATTCGTTCTTTTCTTCTCCATCAACAGACGTCCTCTTCAGAGAAAGCCTTATAATAGTTGATTTCTTTACTTGAGAATGTAGGCCTGAATTCGATGCACTAATGGTTTTGTCACTGAAACTCAATGAACTAACCAGCTTCGGTAAGACAGACTTGAACACCTTCTCCTGAGTTTTCTCCTGCAATTTATCCTTTTTTACACCTTTAAAACTTGCATAGGCACGATCCAAGTTCTTCTTCTTTTTGGTGCCAAGGTCTTCACCCTTCCCTAGCGATGGAATATAGTCTTGAGCACTTAAAACTGCAAGTCCTTTTGGATCCTGAACTACATCTTTGCTCAAAACCTTCTCTGTTTTACTGCCGTCTATCTTGAGATATTTCTCATGGTATTCTTTGTACTTGAGTTTGCTATCCATAAAGCATGATGAAGTTTCATACTGAAGTACTTGTCCATTTGACATGTTGGGGAAAATATCTACAAGAAGCGAGAAGGAATAGAACGAATAAGTAATAACTTTGTCACTTGGTTCATTAAACTTAAGAAAGAATCATTCTAACATATAGTTTGCCAATTAAACATTAATGTCGTAACATTGTCATAGATTCCTATCAGCTTCTGATCTTCTGGAAATGATATAGATCCATCTGCTAAAGAGCATATGATCCGTTATGAACCAATAGTGTCTAACTCCAAAATAGTTCTGATGGAAAACTTGGGTAGCTAAAGATAACAAAGAAAATATAGACAAGATTAAGAATTTAGCAATTTCCGCAAAAGATAAGAGAAGCGCTCCCCCCCCCCCCNNNCCCCCGCCCCCCCCCCCTAACCCCCCCCAAAAAAAAAAAGAAAAAGGAAGGGACAAGAACTGCCAAAAACATAGGTTAATGAATAAGTTGGTATTCTTCTTTTTCTTTTCCTAAGAATGATGGCCTTCTTAATCCATAGAAAGAAGAAGTCATCAATTATAAGTATCACTTAAAACACATTCAAGAACAGCAAATCAAAATAGGAAATTGACATCAAACACAACTAAATATGCCCAAAATCAATGATATTACCTCCATGAACACTACTGAAGTCATCATCTGAGTCGGACTCCAAAATGCTGTGCGTGTCAAACCATGCTTCTTCTTGACAAATAACTGTAAGCATGTAAATATCTCATCATTTTCAAGCTTAAGGTTCAAAACTTTTTCATTATCAAGAGCTTAATCACACAAACTCCAGTTGCTAATAAGATGCTTTCAAAAGAGAATATCCCTTTTCTTTTTCCTCATTGCAAACGAAGAAAAGCATCAGAATTAACACAACCACTAATCTATCAAAGGAAAAAAAAAGGATGTCAGAATGCAAACTTTTAGCAGGATATACTCTTTTGATACCAGTGTCCTAACCGAATGAAACATATGCTGCCCACCAACAAAATAGCAACTCCAGACGTCGAAAAGTACTTATTTTGTGAGATCAAATCGGAATATCATTTTAATGGAGTATACTAAGGTGACATTTCACTTGTCTAGGATATTTCCTTCAAAAGAAGATCAAGTACTTATCACTTTAAGGATTTAATCAGGTATGTTTGTCATCGAACATAGGCATATGATATCAAAAGATAATAAGGTTCAAAATGAAAAAAGAGAGTATACCATTAGCATCTATTTGATTATGTTGCCACTGCAACTGAGTAAGATGGAATGTGGAACTGGAGACCTCAGATCTTGCAGAGGTTGTAGTTGTATGAACAAACTCACTAACAGCAATATCTGTCACCCGTGCATCACTGTTTCTTTTCCTGGTTCCTACTAGAACTGAGTTTGAATTCTTTCTATGGTATTTTCTATGGCGATGACGGTGTTTCTTCCCTGCCCTGATTGTGCTCGCTGGAGTTGATACACAACCACCCATTATTATGACTCAGCTCAGTGCGATCTCACTGCGAGTTGCTGCTGTACCATTTGATGATGCAAATTCCAAGTTGAACACAAGAAATTAAGTTCACCTGGCATGAGAATAAGAGAAACTTTGAAATTGATTATACAACCCCATAGCATTTCAAATTGTGATAATTGAAAATAAGAACTATAATAATCTGTCCAAGGTCTATGTCAAAACCAAAGTTGTAAACACATAAATTACAAAGATGGAAAAATTAGAAATGACTTGAAATTTTGATGCATAACATTATACGCATTCTTGATTCCTGGACTACACAAAGCTTACCTTAAAGGAGTATGAATATCTGGAACTAACAGTACAATCTACAAAGAGCCGACTTTCACAAGAAAAAGGAACTGCTATCGTTAATCTCAATAAAAGCTCACAAATTTGTTCATCACACGTTCTCAAATCTTATATACTAGAATGAAACCCAAAAAGATGGGACAAAAGCAGCTTTTAACAGGGCTTAAAAGCAATGAACCTTATAAGACACATTTAAGAATAAGGAATCACCAAGAATATTACTGACATAAAAAGCAAACAAAGGTGCACAAAGATGGCTAAGTACAAAGGAACTATGAAACAAACTTTAATAATTTCATGTGATTGCAGATAAGAAAAAAGCCAAAAAAATGGAGACATAACTGAAAAGGTGAACATAAAGTAGTAGGATCAAATATGTGATAACTAATAAGCAGCTTTTCCATTTCATTTTTATCCCTTGTCCTGACTTTATGAAATCGTTAATGATGAAAAAGGATGGAATGAACATGACCTTGTTTTCACTCTCAGAGGCCTAATTAGACAAAAGATGTCAGATTATTATAGACATAAGAGAAAGGGAAAAAGAGAATGAAGAAAATGGGTCCATATTAAGATCATATAAGAAGCAAACAAACAAAAGAATAACAACAAAATTGTTGTTAGTATAACAGAAAAAAGGAATAAAATAACAATGCAAATGCGTAGGGAAGCAGAAAAGGCCAAAATATGAAGAATGAAAACAAATAAAAAAATATGGGAAACAAAGATCAGAACTAAAAACTCGCAATACAACAAGCTACTAATCAACAGGTCAGGAAATACCTAGGAAGGAGGATGAAAACGTTATTAAATAAATTAAAGCCTCGTCTTTGAGCAATAAAATAATCAGAGAATAGGGCTGGCCTCATTGGCTCATGTTCAGATTTGGGGAAGGATTCAGGATTTATGTCTTGTGTAGATGCGGGTTTCAAGGAAAGTGATTCGGCCGGGTGCTTCGTCGAGAGGGTATTTATGTGCTAGAAGATTCGTGGAGTTGATTATATTCGGGACCAAGTCAGAGTGGGTGGCTCTCAACAATAGTTCTAGTGGATTCAAAAGTTAAAGTGTGGTGCCTAATGATTTCGAGCCTATAAGTATAGTTAAGAATCGAGTCTTTATAGAAGATTATGATAAGAGGCTCGAAGCGTTCAATGATATCTTCGGCTTGCAGGGTAATATTTAGAGAAATGAGAGGGAATGACTTCGGATTCATAGAGGAGTTATCAGAATGGAGGTACCAGTTAAGATGCGAATATGTNCACCAAGAATATTACTGACATAAAAAGCAAACAAAGGTGCACAAAGATGGCTAAGTACAAAGGAACTATGAAACAAACTTTAATAATTTCATGTGATTGCAGATAAGAAAAAGCAAAAAATATTGGAGACATAACTGAAAAGGTGAACATAAAGTAGTAGGATCAAATGTGTGATAACTAATAAGCTGCTTTTCCATTTCATTTTTTTTCTTGTCCTGACTTTATGAAATCGTTAATGATGAAAAAGAATGGAATGAACATGACCTTGTTTTCACATTCAGAGGCTTAATTGGACAAAAGATGTCAGATTATTATAGACATAAGAGAAAGGGAAAAAGAGAATGAAGAAAATGGGTCCATATTAAGATCATATAAGAAGCAAACCAACAAAAGAATAACAACAAAATTGTTGTTAGTATAACAGAAAAAAAGGAATAAAAATAACAATGCAAATGCATAGGGAAGCAGAAAAGGCCAAAATATGAAGAATGAAAACAAATAAAAAAATATGGGAAACAAAGATCAGAACTAAAAACTCACAATACAACAAGCTACTAATCAACAGGTCAGGAAATACCTAGGAAGGAGGATGAAAACGTTATTAAACAAGAGTTAAACAAAATTAAAGCCTCGTTCTTTGAGCAATAAAATAATCAGTGAACCACGAATTTTCGAAGGAACCCATCATTAAACCCTTCAAAAATTATGACAAAAAAACAATTACTATATCTCACTCTCAAACTAATTATCTCTTTATCTGGACCTGTCTAAGCATGGACGGAGCTAGGGGCCGGAAGGGGTCCCCTTGGCCAGGAAAATTACAATATATAGAAGGTTAATTTTTTTCTTATATATTAAATGTTAAATCTCTGGCCTCTAGTTTCCTTTTTTTATTTTTTGAATCTCTTGGTGAAAATCTTATCTCTGCCATTGTGTTTAAGTGCAGAAAAATAGTTTACAAAAGAATGCAGAAAAATGTAAAAGAAGCATGAAAATAGCAAGGCTCAAGTATGATCCGAAAAATGGACACCTTACATAAAAATGCTGGATGCTCATATAAGTATTATGTGAAAAAGTTATGTACCTTTTTGGGTATTGAATGAAAAAAAAAAAGAAGATGATTAACAATGAAGAAACATGAATGTGGGTCTCCCTCTCTTGTAAATGAAGAAGAAGGAAGCAAAATTCAAGAACCAGAGGGAGAAAGAGCTAGCAAATGGGTCCGACGTATCGGATCCAAGCTCTTTTCCTGAAACTGCTCCTTTTTCAAGCAGCTGTTCTATTTTTTCGGATTTTTATATTTTCTGGGTATATTTTCCCTGTTTTATGTGTATGGATTTGACAGAGAGAGATAATATACAGAGAGAGAATTCAGAATTCAGAGAAATCAGGAAAGGAAGAAGAAGAGGAAGAGAAGCAGATGAGGGACAAGAACGTCATTTTATGTATGTCTAAGAGTGCGTGCGTGCGTGCGTTTGTTTATTTGATGTAGTCCCGCCTGTCCCCAACCAAATCATTATTACAAGCCTCCGTCCCTTTCTCTCCCCCACCATCCCCAACCCCCTTTGTCGAGGTATTATTACAGGAATTTGTTTATTAAAAAACATTAATTATTTTTGTTGTCAAAAGAAGACTTCATTTATTTTGCATCTCGTAATTTTTTTCCCCATAATTTATTGCATGTATGTACATGCAGTTTTAAATCAACTTTAAATATATTTCTGAGAATTTATGCAAAATATTCGTACTCCTTTAGCTAGTATACTGTATACACCGACATATTTTACTTAAAGTTTTCTTTTTTGTTAATGACGTCAGTTGTTAGTTTTGTTTTTATGTCACATAATAGTCTTTCTTTCAGTCTCAGGTCCACATAAATCATAATCGAATAAATAATTTTAAATTAGTAACTGCAATTGCAATGGTATTATTAGTAATTCAAAATGAGGTTAATCTCATCTATATATATCTACTTATATTTATGTGTATATATTATTCGAGTCGAAAAAAACAAATCTCTTAAATTTGCTTAATTTATAGGAGTCCATATTTAGGCAAGTCGACGAAGAAATAGCGGAGCCAAGAGCTTCCACTGCCATTGACTCTGCGATCACATGTATTTGTAATGATAAATCCATTTGTTTCAGCCACGTACCACTCCGATCCCAAAGAAACAAACCATGCATGTGCGTCCACCCATGCATGTTACAGCCTTAATTTTAGGTACTTCAATGTAAAATAACACCTTTTTTATTATTCAGGGCCGGAGTTAGCATATCGGTTACGGGTTTGGCTGAATTCAATAAATTTAGTTCAAGTTTTGTATTTTGTTTTAAAAAATTATTAAAAACATATAAATTGTTAATTTAAAATTCAATAATTTAAAAAGACTAGAATCTCGAACATATGTACTAGCTAGATGGTCTTCTAAGTCCATCATCTCAACCATATTGACAGACTTATAATAACTAACTTCATAAGCAGAAAAGAAGTTTGTGGAGGAATGTTATTCGTATCCAATTGTAATCCTTCCATATATCTCTTAAAAGCTAGGAAAAAGATACATCTAAACCACGGAACAAAAAATAGTTAGAGAATAATTACATGTCTATCCAAACTATATATATATATATATATATATATATATATATATATATATATATATATATATATTCTTTAATTTGCAAAAGGCCAATTAAGGGAATATTGAATCTTTCTCCTTCAAAGTGTCGTATTCTATTCATTTAAACTGGCTCAATTAGTTTTAGTAGGTCAGGAAAAATAGGAAGACTTATTAATTAAGCTAAAACCATGCATGTGTACAAAGTTATATATGCACGGCTACAAGTCTTATAGCATGTGATATTATTAACCAAACTATCTTAAATAAAGGGATTTATGTTGAGATCATGAGTCATGAGACTTCAAAGAATATAAAAGAGCATGTTTCCAACACTATAAGTATTTCATAAACCTTTTAAGTATAAAAAACAAGATGTTTATATTCCACTAAGTAAAGGATCACAGAAAACAAAAGCATATAGATAGTGCAATGATGTGTCACCTCATACGAAAGCATATAGATAGCTAAGAGATACTTCAGCGAAAAAGAGATCATGCATGTAGTCAGAGATAATTAAAGATTTTAAAAATCAGTTAGCGCAAAATACCACTACAGTTATTGTTGATCATCATGACAATATGTTTGTACTTAATATATATTTACATATATTATTCTAAGAAAATCAATTTTCTTGTCTAAATATATAATTTGAGCCGGAGGTAGTAAGTTGGCCTTTTATAATAATTCCCACTCAAAATCATAATGGCAGTACTTAAATGAATGTAGGTAGCAGCATTTGGGAATATTTGGGAACTGTCGAAGGAAACACAGACGCATCATGTGATGGATAGCCAATTATCTTCTCAGGGTTTTTGAGTAATGATATGTATCTTGCTGGATTAATTAAAAGCAGCAATTTTATATACATTCTTGTCATGTGGCATTGTTGCTTTAATTGCTTAACAAATATACCTAATCACTTTCACATTTGGAACCTTTTAACACCTTTTTTAACAATAAAACCATGCCTTATTTCCGGTGACAACGTAAAGAATTTTTATCTTATTAATAATAATTTAATTAGTTATTATAACTTGTTCCCTGTTCTTTAGATTACGTATTAATATACTTGTTATTGAAATATTATCTGTAATTCAGTCTCATATTAAGCTTATGATTAAAAATATTAATTTATACATTTCAATATAAAAAAGTTAAATTCGAAAACATATTACCCTATATTTTCATCAATCCTTACAAAACAGTAATAATAAGTCCAATAGTATCTCATAACCGTATATTGACGTAGAATTCCTTTTCTGCTGTCTATCTAGCTCGATTTCTTCGCCTAACTAAATTACTCTATTATGCAAGTCCTTGCAATTAGACCTTCTTTTTTATTTTATTTTAACCTACTTTATCGCCTATATTGCTTCAAATTAAAAGCTACTCCCTCCGCTCCACAATAAGTAACCAATTTGCTTGTGGCACGTCCATTAAGAAAATACTAAATTCTATACAAAAATACTAGTATGACTAAACTACCCTTAATTAAATATTTAATATGAGGAGTAAGAAAACTTTTTAGTGATATGTACATAAGGGTAATTTTGTAAAAACAAATTGATTATTTTCTTGATTATATAAATGGACGCTTATTTTGGACCAAAATAAAAAAGCAAATTGGTTGGACCGAAGAAAGTATTAATTAGAAACTTGCCGTAGTACGTTAGACGAGTAACCCAAAACTCTTACAAGCAGTCTTAGCCTGCGAATACATGATCATTTTCCAATGCTTCACTCTCTCGCGCGCACAACAAACTTGAAACTATTAAAACAGAATTAGAGATCAGATCTATAAGAGATTTTTTTATTCTCCGAAAAAATCCTTTTTTATTTAAGTCATTAATTAGTGCATTGTAACACGTTGCGGTGATTTGCTTTATTTTTCAAGTTACTAATTTCACCGATTACTTTGGATGATTCTTGTAATTATTCTTTTGGTGATATGATAGTGTGAAAATTTATTTATGTTGTCCATATATGTACATATAATTTAAACTCGTCATTTGCTCTAGCTATTTCAAAAAGGAGCCGAATACTAGATAAACTTGTACGATGCGTTTATTGATTTCATATGGCGCGACTCCTTCATTTATACCTTGCGAACAAAGCCTATCGGGTATTCTAATCACATGGGGAAAAAATTCTAGTAGAACTTTCAACATTAATGTTGATTTAATTAGGAACCAAACACAATAGATAAAAACAAAAGTTCCAAATAAGTGTTTGACCAAAAAATGATGATCTTTGGTTAAACTAATTAATTAGTTATTAATGAGAGTTAATCTTAGTTAAAGCTAATAACTTCAGATCTTGGGTTGACAGTGTGAAAGGTATGAGCAGTAAATAAACGGAATTAATGTGCTAGCAATAAATGTGTCGAATGTAATAATGTGCATGAAGTGTCAAGTATTAAGTAACAATGAGCGGCAATAAATGTAAATAAGGAGGAAGATTCACCCAATATTGAATGAGGTGAATGATTACTTCCTCTGACAATGATGAATGACAGGAATATAAAAAAATATTGGGCACTTTCTCGAATCTAGTGGAAATGATAATGGATAATCTAAAAAGGTCGAATCTCTTTAGAAAGTTGTTTGATCACGCCCAACTATGTCTTATAAAAAGACACGTGGACGTTGCAAATATAGTCTGAGTATTTATGCCCAGAGTCGAGCCCATAGGGAATTAACCTATCAATTACTTTCATTGGACTTACTCAATTCTATGGAATCAACTTCCCCGAACGTTGTAAATCACAATTTAAGGTATTACTAATAACTAAGACTGAAATTAAATAGACAGCTGAAAACTAACTTATGCTTGGTTTGTAAACAATTATGAGAAGGTTCTAAGGCTATGATTTTCCCTATTGATGGAATCCCTTCCGGTTACGTTTCATATAGATTCACCAAAACATCTCTATCAATCATGAGCACTCTTTTTACCATAAATTTCTCCCGAGTAATCACAATAATTTACTAGACGTACTCTCCCGAGATACGCTAGCTGGCTTCGTTTATTACAGCTCATTTTAGATTGCACCCAAGGCTTCGTTATCCCTAATCCCGCCTTTAAACCCGCAGTTATAGATCCCTCTTATACCTTGGGAGTGATATTGTTCAACAACTACCTAAATATGCACTCTCTCCCGAGTTATGCACACTAAATAGGCACAGCTAATTGAGGATCCTGTCAATTAACTACAACAAACACGTAGTTGAACAAATAGAGATTAAACTGGCAATCTATATTAACATAATCAAGAAGTTCATCCTTTAATAGGTTCCATCAAAATCCTAGACAAAGGATTTATCTACTCGTAACAAAGTAAGAGAAAACTACTAAATTGTTCATAATGTAAAATTGCAAGAAAATAAGAGAGATAAAGAAACTATAATGTTTTGGGTGATCTCTCACACTTGTTCTTGCCTCCAAAAGTAGTCTAAAAACAAGCTTCTCCCTATCTTGGGCGAGTTTCTACAGCTTATAAGGGTTTTACAAAAGTTTCCCCGAAATTACACTTTGGCCCCAAATTTCCAGGTTCGTGAACAGTTCCCCGCGGACGCGGCGTGGACTTTTGCCCGGGCCATTTTCTTCTGCTCCTTTGTGTTCGGGTACTTCTTGATTGGGTGTTTTCTTCACATTATCGCCTCCAAACACTTCGTGTTGCTTCCTCACATATAATATTCCCGGCGAAACCAAATAACACTATTTAAAGCATTTTGTTGGCAATTTACCTTATAAAACAACAACAAAGCATGATCAATTAAGGTGTAAATATCAACTATATAGCCTAATATCAACACCCCACACTTAAATTAT